CCCCCCCCCCCCCCCCCACACGGTACCAAAGCAGTATAGGCTTGAGGTTTGGCGTTATGACCTCCTAAAGGCGTTATGGCTTTTTGCTGCTGGAAGATGGCTGCTTATACTCCTTAAACATTCCAAGAAGTTCGGCTATGACCTCTTAGAACCTCATTTCAACCCCTAACCTACAATCCTCTCAAAACCTGGATGAATAACACTTAAACAGGGTAAGGGATTTTGGAGCCCCAGCTACCGCCCGCTGGCCGAAGTTCTTCGCTGCCCAAGCAACACCTCGACCGTGGTTCCCGTCCGTGCACGTGACGAAGGTGGTCGCCCCAAAGCGCTCTCGATACAGCTCTTGAACAGCCTTCCTGGGTTCTTTAGGGTTTAGGGGTTTAGGGATTTAGGGCTTAGGGTTTAGGGTTTAGGGTTTAGGGCTTTGATACAGCTCTTGAACAGCTTTCCTGGGTTCTTGTTAAGGAGCCAAGCTTGAGATACCAGCCGGAATGCTTAGTTTTTGCATACACATGCTCTATCCTTACCCATAACGGCTTCAAGGAAGTTCCTGTTCAAGAACCAGTTTCACCTGATCGCTGGTCTCCGGCACGGGCTGCGCCAGTCTTTTGCACATGAACCTGAGCATGGCATAAGCACCGCCAACCACCTTGAAAGCCTGCAAGCCCATGCGCTTGGACTCGTCTTTCACGTAGACAGCTGCTACGCCAGGGAAGCCATCAGAGATCTTTACCTTTGGCACCGCGCACGCGACAGAAACAGTTTATGGCTGAATTCACGAATCCCATAAACTTTAATCTGTAGATCCTAAGCCCTTAAACCGACAGAGAGCCATACGTAGAGTCTGAAACCCCTGTCACAGTCTCAAAAACCCAAACCATTCTGAAACTTTCCTTAGGCCACCCCACCATAAATCCGAGTAGAACCCTCTAGAGACACGGCTTTAAAATGCCTTATCGAGCCCTATGAAGCATGAAGAAATCACAGATTCTGATCCAGGTGGGTAGTTCTCTAAATTAGCTTTTAAAAAGGACCCTAAAAGGGACCCTTTTTTTGAACTACCCAGGTGCCAAAGGCGTAGGTTCCAAGCCAAGAACGGATCGAACCTTTCCTGGGCTGGTCGGGGAAGTCTAAAGAGATGGGGTTTCGGTTTTGGGGTTGTGGGCTTTAGGGTGTTGAGTTCAGGGTTTAGGGCTTATAAGGTTTATATGGTTTAGGGTTTAGGGTTTACCCATAGGCCCCTAAGTAGTTCCTTTTTAAGGTTTATATTTAGAATCCTATAAGGTAATCCCAAAAAGGAACTACTCAGGAGCCTATGGGTAAAGAGATGGGATTTCGGTTTAGGGTTGCGCGCTTTGGGGTCTTAGGGTGTTGAGTTTAGGACGGTTTAGGGTTTAGGAAGGGTTTCGGGCTTAGGGCTTATAAGGTGTTGGGTATAGGGCTTATGCTTTTGGGGCTTTCCGGGTTTTAGGGCTTCTGAGCTGTAGGGGCTATTTAGTGTTCAGGGTTCTGGGTCTAAGGTCTTCTGGTGTCGACTCCTGATTGATGAAATCCTCGAACTTTATAAGGATTGCATTAGGGTTCAGGGCTTAGGGTTTAGGGTTTAAACCCTAAATCCTAAACCCTAAACCCAAAACCTACTTTCCGGGTGGTTGTATTAAAGGAGGGGTGTAGTACTCAGGGGTCGTCTACATTACTTCCTTCAGTCTTCCCACTTGAGCAGGTGCCTGCAATGCATGTGCGTGCTTTGCCAAAAAGGGAAACTATGTGACAACCATACTTGTCCTGTGGTTTGAAGACTATACCCTGCAAGAAAAGGGATGGTTGTCTACTCCCCACTGAGCAGTAGAATATGCAAGAGAAATATGATGTTCGCCCTTCTTTGGGAATATACTCCACGAAAACTATGTATATTACTGGTTCTCAGGACAAGTCTTATAGGCCCCTAAACCCTAAACCCTAAACCCAAATTAAACGTTCGTTCAAGATCTGCCGCGGTTCTGGCTTCTTCTGGGCCAAAGGGACGGTGTGCAGGAGGCGGGATGAGATGGATCCTTGCAGGATAGGGTTTAGGTTTTAGGGTTTTTGGGTTAGGGCTTCGGGTTTACAGGAACATCGTTATGCTTCTTTTGCAATGCTTGTTAAAGCTTCATAAGCACAAAAAAAGAGTACACTTTCAGTTCTATGAGGGATCGTATCATCCCAAAAAGTTTAAAAGTGTAGTATTTCAGCCAATAAGAAAGGTTAAGGATTCAGGTTTAACTGGGCAGTTGGGCGATCTTTTTGTCGCACGAAGAGACGGGTTCAGTAATACTTCAACACTATTCGGTAGTAGATGGAACCTCTGTTTGATCATAGAGCAGCTTTTTCCGTTCAGTGTGTCGCGCTTCGGGCTGCAAGTCTTTGGGTAGAGGCCCAAATCTGGATCTGGACATTTAAACAAGTAGTAGGCATAGAGTATGATGTAGCTGTGGCTGCAACTACCTACTTCGATGACGGTACAAGTTAAAGGGCCGTAGGTTGCGGTTTGGAACTACAGGTGGAGCTCGCAAGGACCCTTTGGGTAGTTCTCTAAATTAGGGTCCGTGCAGGTCCCCAATATAGTACGGCACCCTTATAAACAGGACCTTAAACCGGACCCTAATATAGAGAACTACCGCACCCTAATATAGAGAACTACCCATACTGTTGATGGTAAAAATCCTGCATCACCTTCAGGACCCTAAACTATTGGAATTTATGGTATATTCCTTATTATGGGTAATGCAGGATTTATATCATCAAGCGTCCCTACCATCTAGGGCCTGAATGAAGCACCATAATGGGGATCTATAGTATATAGTATGCTTTCTTAAATTTATTATGGTAACTTAAACTAAACTCCCTTAACAAGAGCCCAGTATGATGACCATCCGTGGATCCTCCGAGGCAAATCGCGGCAGTCGAAGAGCGACTTCGCACCACTCTGGGTTACCAGCACAGTGTCGCCTCTCTTCTTCAACAACCATGCCCAAAGAAGTTCAAACTTTAGGGTTTTAGGGTTTTAGGGTTCAGGGTTTAGGGTTTAGGGCACAAAAAAAGTTCAATCTTTGTAGGATAGACCTAATAGATAAAGCAAAAATTTTTAAAGTTCTGCTATTGGCTATCCAAGTCGCTGAGCCCAACGCCGCCGTGCCCCTGCACTTGCACCCACCTTATTTTTGTCAAGGCAAATAGCCCGAGGATGATTAAAACCAAAGATCCTGTGAGTAGTTCGAGCTGCTATCATCCCCGGTGTTGACCACTATACCGAACACATCCCCCCCCTCACACCCCAGTCAAACGCCGCAGTCTTTGTATTCCTCGTAAAGGTGCGTCTGGCGACTCTGACAAAAAAAACGCCGTTCCCAGTGATCCCAATACCCCTTAATTAAGGAATATACCTTAAATCATAATATTAAAGCCCCCATAATTTAACGTATATGCCTTAATTAAGGGGTCTTGGGCTCTCTGGGTTGTGGGGGGGCTAGGAAGATGCCAGCAAATCACACGGAAACTCAGAGCCTGCACCTGGTAAGCCTCAGCCGCAAGCCCCAAAAAGCCTAAAGCATTGACTTCTCTATGTCGTGTGTATAACCTGCTATCCTAAACCCTAAACCTTCTAATCCCTGAACCCTAAACCCAATAATCCCTAAACCCTAAACCCTATAATCCCTAGACCCTCACGAAGCGATTGATGAAGGTCCCTGAGAACGGGTTTGACTGCTTCAGGGCTTTTGGAGTCAAGTATGGGTTTAGCTCGGAGAGCAACTAAAACCCCCACCAGCCAGAAACCCTCGATGAACTACTCAATCTCACCACCACCACCTCTAGATGTGACTAAAACCAACCCTAAGGGTCCATGTATCCAAATAGATATACTTTGGCCTTAATGTAGTCCCTATTTGGGTACTTTGGGGCCTATGTATATCTATTTGGCTACATGGACCCTTAGGGCAACTAACCCCAAAGATCCAATCATCCGAGAAACGGGATCAAATGGATCACCATGCCCTCCTGAAAAACCTGGTCCGAACCGGGGTCCATCTTGAAGAATTGAGCCTCGCCCCAGTCCTTGTCGATTAAAGTCGTTTAGAGTTTAGGGTTTAGGCTTTAGGGTTTAGGGGCAAAGATAAGGGCCTTCAAAATTAGAATAGGGTTTACATTCTGCGCACATCGAGCTAATAAGGGGACACTACCAACCTCATTCCGGCCATAATAAAATTCTGCAGCCGTTTATATAAGGACCAAAGACGATGACCTGATACATACAGTACAGTACAGTGCGGTACAGCATTGCACCATACATTGCAATCATTCCATTGCGGTATGCTGCAGTACATTAGCTTACATTACACCTATATTGCATTGTAGTTATACCGGGTTCTAGTAGCTAGTAGCTAGGAAGGGTTTTGAGGTGCATTATCGTATAGCTACTGTATGTCAGGAAACCTTCGAAATCATCTTGACAAATTGTGCTACACTGCAAACTTATAGCACGCCTTACAGTACAGCATAGTACTGCTTTTGAAGGAACCTTAAATAACCCTAAACCCTAAGCCCAAAGCTAAACCCTAAGCCCTACGAATGTTGAAGGAACCCTATTTGCTACCGCTTCTTTGTGCTTCGGTTCCCAGAGACTCCAATATCCCTTAATTAAGGAATATACCTTAACTTATAATAGGAACCCTAAAAAGATTTAAAGTATATTCCTTAATTAAGGGATATTGGGGTTTCTGGGAACGCCTAAACCCAAAGCTCCTAACCCTTAACCCTAAACCCAGAAGCAACCCTAAACCCTCAAAACTCTACACCCTCAAACCCCTAAACCCCTAAACCCTCAAAACCCTAAACCCTTAACCCCTAAACCCTTAACCCCTAAACCCTAAACCCCTAAACCCTCGAAACCCTAAACCCTCAAAACCCTAAACCCTAAACCCTCGAAACCCTAAACCCTCAAACCCCTAAACCCTCAAAACCCTAATCCCTCAAAACCCTCAAACCCCTATACCCGGAAAACCCTCAAAATCCTAAACCTTAATCCCTAAACCCTAAACCCCTACACCCTAAACCCTCTACACCCCTCAAAACCCTCAAACCCTAAACCCCTATACCCTAAAACCCTAAACCCCTAAACCCTAAACCCTCTAAACCCCTAAACCCCAAAACCCTAAACCCTCAAAGCCCTAAACCCCTAAACCCGAAACCCTCCAAAATCCTAAACCCTAAACCCCTAAACCCTAGGAGTCGCTAGGGTTTCCAGGAGTCGGTGTAGAAGCCGAGGCCGATGGAATAGCCCGAGCCTTGGTTTCCCCCAGCAGATTCCGGGCCAAACATTTCGGGTTTGGGGGTTTTAGGGTTTTGGAATTTTAGGATTTTAGGGTTTTAGGGTTTAGAGTTTTTAGGGCTTTCAAAGTTCATGGGTGATACTTGCCCAAACCATAATACGGTTGATGATATAAATCCTGCTTTACCCATAATCAGGAACATACCACATTCCCATAGTTTAGGGTCCTTAAGGTGATGCAGGGTTTATATGATCAACAATAGTACTTGCGACTAAAAAGAAGAACCCCAAATTTCCTACAATATGGCTACTTAAAGGAACCCTAAACCCCTACATCCTTAACGAAGGCTTTAAAAGGCTCCCCTGTATAGGTACTCAGGATCCACCATAAAGGGACCCTTAAACCCTTATACCCTAAACCCTTAAACCATTGCAGCGCACCCTCAACCCTAAACCCCAAAAAAACCTTGAACCCTAAACCCCTAAACCCCCAAACCCCTAAACCCTAAACTCCAAAACACCAAAAATCCCCAAAACCCCAAAACACCAAAAAACCCCAAAATTCACCAAAAACCCCCAAGAGCCCGAAGAGAGCGCTACTAGAGACATCTCCCCAGGGAGCGAAGGGACATGGTGAAATCTGCTCCCAGGCTCCCCAGAACCTTGGTTTCCGAGTAGGGCCCTTAGAAATAAGGGGGTTTAGGGGTTTAGGGGCTTAGGGGTTTAGGGGTTTAGGGGTTTAGGGGTCAGGGTTCAAGTTTTAGGGCTTATAGGGTTTAGGGGTTCGTTTGTTGTTTAAGGCTTTGGGTTTAGGGTGCCCTTTTTTCCTTCTATTCGGTTTTCGTAAGGGGGCCCGAAAATAAAAAGGGCAAAAGGTACCACTCAGGGACCTAGGAACTTCCCGCGCCTTCGCATCCACCTACAGCTCGGCGCAGAATTGGGTTTAGGGTTTTAGCTTTTCTTTTTTAGGGTTCAAGGTTTTCAGGTTTAGGGTTTAGTTTGTGTTTTCAAGTTTAGGGTTAGGGTTTAAGGCTTAGGGTTCAAGGTTTAGGGTTTAGGGTTTTAGTTTGTCCTAAATCCTACATGCATATTTTTTGGGTTTAAGGATTTAGGATTACGGGTTTAAGGTTTGTTGGGCTCAAGGTTTATAGGGTTTAAGGTTTATTGGGTTGAGGGTTTAAGGTTTATAGGGTTTAGGGGGTAAGGCTCACAGGGTTTAGGGTGCAAGGTTTAGGGTTTAGGGTGCAAGGTTTAGGGTTTAGGGTTCAAGTTTTATCGGGTTTAGGGTGTAAGGTTTAGGGTTTAGGGCTCAAGGTTTATAGGGTTTAGGGTGTAAGGTCTTAGGGTTTTGGGCGTAACGCGTAGGGTTTAGGGTTTAAGGTTCAGGGTTCATTGTTGAAGGTTTGGGGCTTAGGGTTTAAGGTTGAGGGCTTTGAGCTTTTGTAGTTTGGATCTAGAGTTTGGGGTTTAGGGTTTGGGGCTTTAGGCTAAGGGTTTTAGGGCTTAGAGGGTTAAGGGTTTAGAGCCGTTGAAGGATCCAGGGGGACAGCTGGTGGGTGGAGGTTGCTTAAAGCACCTAGGTATTTCAGGCAAGGGCATACCAGAACTCTCATCGAACGCGCGAATGGAATGAGCCCGACCTTTAAAACACGTATGCACATAGCCTTTGATGCAAGGCAAGGATGCCAAAAACTAAAGCCTAAACCCAATCGGTTTAGGGTTTAGGGTTTTGGCAGGCGCCCCACCTCCTTGGCCAAAACTCCAGGCTTCATTGCAGCCATTGCGATTTCCATGGCCTTGGCAACGGCCTCTTCGGCTGAGGCTAAGACGGCCGGAAGCTTCGTGCCCACATAGCCTTCGGATTTAGGGTTTGCCCATAGGCTCCTTAGTAGTTCCTTTTTGGGACTACCTTTTAGGATTCTAAATGTGAACCCTACAAAGGAACTACTGAGGAGCCTATGGGTAGGTTTTAAGGTTTATGCTGTAGGGCTTAAGGTTCAATCCCTAGCTGTGCAGTTCATAGGCCAGCAGAACAGTAACCTGTCCTTCTTCATGGGGGATTTCTGTAAAGCCCTAGGTGACAGCCATCTACCCCAAAACTCCACACCCTAAAACTCGAGTATTTTCAAGAAGCCTAAAACGTGGTAGGCCCTATAAACCCTAAACCCGCCAAACACATGTATCAAGAAGAGGCGAATAGCAGCTTCGCATCATCGCTGCATGGTAGCGTTCGTAGCAACCGCCAATCTCCAAGAACCTGCGCACGTTTAGGAAGCTGAGACGACCTTGAGGACGAACTGAACCCTAAAAGGGTTTAAGGTTCATATACCATATAGGAATTCATAGTATGGTACAGGGCCCCTACTTTTCAGGGTAATTTCGTCCCTCAAAAAGTTTGAAGGTTTCGAAGTTTAAAGTGCGAAAAGACATTATGCAAGGCTTCTGGGATGAAGCTTCAATCCTTAGAACAAAAGCCCAGCAACAAGAGCTCACCTTCCCTTAGCAAGCTGCCGCCCGAGCCAGTGTAGTGGCCCAAACACCCATTCTGCCCGGCACAGACAAAGGGCGGATATGCAGGATACCTTGGCTGTCCAGGATACGGTGAGGGTCCAAAGGACCCAACAGCTACTCGGGCTTAAGATAATAGCTTTGTAGGTCCGTCTCTGGAAGATTAATATATGATGACTGCGTACTTGGACCCTGCGGGATAACAACGCACAAGTCTAGATGATCAGTTTTCAGAAACCCTAAACCCTAAAACCCTGAACCCTATTTCATTCATGGTCTTCTTGAGTTTGCCGAAGAAAATCGAAAACCGGGGGCCTGGACCCTAAAAGGACAAAAGGCCGATACCAGAAGACTCATAACTAAACTCTGAAGCTCCGATGCAAAGACTTTGGAATGCACGTCTTGAATATGTGTGTGTATATATATATATACTATACATATGTGTATATATATATATATGCCGCAGGGGGGGTGAGCACATCTATCTATCTATATATATATATATGATGTGTATATATATATATACATATTTGTTTATACATATGTCTGTATAGACCCACAGAAACGCTACATCGCCTTCGAAACAGAAGCTTTTGGGCTCCGTTGAAGCCAACTACTCAGAGTAAGCCCTAAACCCTGAGAGTGCCAAGCCCTAATCGCCAGTAACCGAAAAGACCTACCTTTTTAGGGTTCCTTATTATGGTTTCTATATATAGGTCCTTAAAAAGGTAGGTCTTTTCGGTTACAGGTATACCCTATATCAGACCCACCGAAAAAGCAGGAAGGTCTACACAGTCAACTCAGATACTCTGGGCCCAAATCATAAATCCCATAGTCTAGCGGGTTTAGGGTTTAGGGTTTAGGGTTGCCACGCTAAACCCATAAACACTATATCCAACTGGCCCTAAATGCCGGGTTCTTCAAGCACCCGAGACCAGGAATCTCAAGACTCCTCAAAGACGTTTCAATCGAGTCCCAAAGACCCGAACCGTATTGCTCGGTTGGGGTTTAGAGGGTTTAGGGTTTAGACCCGAAACCACAGAAGGACACCGACACGGAGCTTTCGAGGGAACCCCGACAGGAAGCCCTTGAATGAAACCTTTAAAGAAGGCCTTAAAGGAAGTCCTTTCCCAAGGAATCGAATTCAAGGAATCCGTAAGCGCTCTGAGACGTGTTTGATGTCATGCAATAGCAGGCTTGTTGGAGCGTTTTAAGCCGCAAAGGGGTCAAACCCTCCGGAAGGCCCTCTAGATAAAAAACAATTTAAATAAATAAATAAATACATAAGTAAATAAGTAAATAAATAAAACATGAAATCATATATATGTATATATTGCGGCTATACTTGTAGGTAGCAGCAGCAGCAGCAGGAAGAGGAGCAGGAGGAGTAGTAGTAGTACCACTAGTACCATACTTGGACCCCAGCAAACCCAAACCTTTTTGGGTTCCTGACTAGGAAGCCCTCAACCCTAAACCCTAAACCCCAAAACCCTAAAGCCTAAAGCCCTAAAGCCTAAAATCCTAAAACCCTATGTACACCCCAAAACCAAAAAAGAAAACCCTTAAAACAAGGCAGGTTTCCTGGGCTCAAAGTGAACCTTGGGAGCCCTGAAAGGAGAGATCTCTCAACCCGATTCCCCAAACCCCTGAAGCCCTATAAATCTAATTCAGGGGCCTCAATAACTTCAGGTTTGTGTTTTTTTTCTTATGGGGGGGGGGGGGGCTTAGGGTTTTTGGTTTAGGGGAAGTTTAGGGTTTAGGACCTAGGGTTTAGGGCTTAGAATAACATCAAAGAAAAGCTCCTAGTGTACGGAGCTCCTTAAGCAGAGCTGCTCTCCTCCCTCCTGAGCCATGGCCGCGTAGACGCGGCCGGCGATCTCCGTCTCAGCCATCCCACACCGGGCTGCCTGGCTCGGAGTCTGTTTTAAGGGGCCTTAATATTCAGAATAGGGTTTTTGGGGTATAAGGTGTTTTTTTCAGGGGCCTCGGAAAATTTTTTAGGGCATTTTACGCTCACAAGCACTCTTCTGATCATGAGCTGCGCCAGAAAGCGCTAAACCCTAAACCCTAAATCCTAAACCCTAGTTGCCCAAATGCTACATGACACGGAGCCGGCTTGTGCTACAGACACGGTTTAGGGTTTAGGGTTTAGGGTTTAGGGCTTAAGGTTTAAGGTTTAGGGTTTAGGGTTTAGGGTTTAGGGTTGACGAGAGGACTCCATGCTTAAACTTAAGGTTCTAGAGTGCTGTAGGACCGTTGATAACTCGAAAAGCCTCCTCTGAGGGGCTCTACAAGAAAAGTTGCAAAACTGAGGCTTTTTTGGGAGGTTTAGGGTTTAGGGGGGAGAGTCTTTCCTTGAAGGGCTCCTCCGAGTCTCCCGACTGTATGGGTTCTACCAGGAAGCTGTTGAAGAACACCAGAAGTTCCTAAACTATAGTTGCCGATCATAAGTACAAAAAAGTGGATCGTATTATCCCAAAGCGCTTAAAGTGTAGTACTTCAGCTACTATATAGAGGAATCCCTCAAGGAACCCCTCATGAAGGAACCCCTATAAGGGTTCTATGAGGGAGTTGGGGTTGAGGATTTCCGAGCTTTGGGCCAAGGTCTGCGAGGGTGGCTCCAACAACAAACTCTTGAAGTTTTTAAGGCTTCCATCCTATTATAACTCTATTCTTAATCCTCAACCCTGTTATTAAGCCCTGTCATAATCCCTAAACCCTATTAGAAACCTAAGCCCTGCTATAATCCCTAAACGCTATAATAGAAACCCTCAACCCAAAATCCTTTGCTGTAACCGTTTGGGACGGTGGGGATTCCGGGGAAGGTTCGGAGGCTTGGGGCGTTGATGGCGTTCAGGGTTAAAGAGAGTTTAGGGTTTTAGGGTTTCGGGTTTAGGGTTTTAGAGTTCAGGGCTTTAGGGTTCAGGGTTTAGGGTTTAGTTTTTTTTGAGGGTTTAGGGTTTGGGTGGATTTGCAGATAAGAAAACCCAACAATCAAAAGTGCCAAAGGGGCTTTGTCCGTTTTTTGCAAGGATTTTCGTAAGGCCTACGGCAGGACGCAGCTTAGACTGCATGCTGGATATGGATTTTGGTGGGGCTTATCCATCTCAAGAAGGCTTATGAAACCCTACATCCAACACCTTGAACCAGAGCCTTGAAACCCAACCGCTACACCAGGGCCGGGGGTGGGGCTGATACGGTTGATGATATAAATCCGGCATTACCCATAACAAGGAATATACCAGAATTTCCATAGTTTAGGGTCCTTAAGGTAATGCATGATTTATATCATCAACAGTAGTAGTACTCTATTCCCCAGTGTTCCTCATCGTAACCACTATAGTGCACTAGTAATGCTAAGGAGTTATTACCATCAACAGAATCAACAGTAAGACTGTGGGCGGCCTGGCCAGCTCTCACTCCAGCAGCACAGATCTCTGCCGCACCTCAACTTACCATCAATCTCTCACACATCCAAGGATTCAGGGTGTAGCATGTTCCTAGACCCTCCATCTACCCTCTAAACGCCCTAAATAACCCTTAATCTGGGACCATAAACCCCTGTTTGAGGGTACTTGGAGGGTCCTGGTAGGCTTTCGCTTTTTCAGGTTTAGCCCCAAACCCTAAACCCTAAACCCTCTCAGGAACCCACGTAATTGTAGCAGAAGGCCCTACCCTGCAGTTTTTTAACCTTCAAGCCCAAACCCCATAAAGTCCAGCCTACGCTATTTCAGCCCTACAGCCCTATGGCTCAGCTATTTCAGCCCGAGTCCCTATAACTTCTAGCCTCATCTATTTCAGCCCTAAACCAGATAAATTTTTAGCCTAGGTAAACTATTTCAGCCCTAAACCAGATAAATTTTTAGCCTAGGTAAATTATTTCAGCCCTGTAAACCTAAAACCTAAACCCTAAACCCTAAACCTTAAACCGTAGAACCTCTAGCCTGAACTAAAAATCGTGCTCAGGGTCCGGCCACCCACTTCCCGATGTCGGCGGCCTGGTTTGCGCTGTTGGCCCGGGTCTCGGAGTTTAGAACCAAAGGACCCTTAAAAGTAAGGGCTCTATACCCTTATATACTATGAATCTCTTTTTTGGTTTGTGAACCTCAAGCCCCGCCCTTTTAGGGTTCGTTTCGTCCTTAAAGTGGGGTTTAGGGGTTTTCGAGCTTCAGTGGCTTACCCAAAAAAGTGTAAATGTAGGTTTCTATACTGTGCTCGGTACGTAGTACTATTCAGGAGGGTGATGTGCAAGGATGCAAAAGCCCGTAAACCCCGGAAACCTAAACCCCAAACCCTGGACCCTATAACCCTTCAACCACCCTGTTTACAGACTTACATGAGGAAATCACTATAGGGAGCTTGGTTCTTTGGGGTGCAGGTAGGTCCTGCATTCCTAAATCCGAAAACCTGGGGGCTCGGGATTAGGGGTTTGTAGGGGGGTTAGGGGTTTGGGGGGGGGGGGGGGG